GATGAGGATGAAGAAGAGAGAGGATGAGGAAGAAGAAGAAGAAGAAGAAGAGGATGAAGAAGAAGAAGAAAAATAAGAAGAGGATGAGTATGAAGAAGAAGAAGAAGAAGAAGAGGATGAAGAAGAAGAAGAAGAAGAAGAGGATGAAGAAGAAGAAGAAAAGAAGAGGATGATGAAGAAGAAGAAGAAGAAGAAGAAGAAGAAGAAGAATGAGGATGATGATGAAGAAGAAGAAGAAGAAGAGAAGAAGAAGATGAAGAAGAGGATGAGGATGAAGAAGAGGATGAGGATGAAGAAGAAGAAGAGGATGAGGAAGAAGAAGAAGAAGAAGAGGATGAGGATGAAGAAGAAGAGGATGAGGATGAGGATGAAGAAGAAGAAGAGGATGAGGATGAAGAAGAAGAGGATGAGGATGATGAAGAAGAAGAAGAGGATGAGGAAGAGGATGAGGATGAAGAAGAAGAAGAAGAAGAAGAAGAGGATGAGGAAGAAGAAGAAGAAGAAGAAGAGGATGAGGAAGAAGAAGAAGAAGAAGAAGAAGAGGATGAGGATGAAGAAGAAGAAGAAGAGGATGAGGAAGAGGATGAGGATGAAGAAGAAGAAGAGAGATGATGGTGAGGATGAGGATGAAGAAGAAGAAGAAGAGGATGATGGTGAGGATGAGGATGATGAAGAAGAAGAAGATGAGGATGATGAAGCAGAAGAAGAAGAGGATGAGGATGAAGAAGAAGAAGAAGACAAGGATGAGGATGATGAAGAAGAAGAAGAAGAAGAAGAAGAAGAGGAGGATGAAGAAGAAGAGGATGAGGATGAAGAAGAAGCCGAAGAAGAAGAAGAGGATGAGGATGATGAAGAAGAAGAGGAGAGAGAAGAAGAAGAAGAAGATGAGGATGAAAGAAGAAGATGATGAGGATGAGAAGAAGAAGAAGAGGATGAGAGGATGAGAGGAAGAAGAAGAAGAGGATGAGGATGATGAAGAGGATGAGGATGATGAAGAAGAAGAAGGGATGAGGATGAAGAAGAAGAAGAAGAAGAGATGAGGATGATGAAGAAAGAAGAAAAGAAGAAGAAGAAGAAGAAGAAGAAGAAGAAGAGATGAAGATGAAGAGAATGAAGAAGAAGAAGAAGAAGAAGAGAGGATAAGGATGAAGAAGAAGAAAGAAGAGGATAAGGATGAAGAAGAAGAATAAGAGGGATGAGGATGAAGAAGAAGAGAATGAGGATGAAGAAGAGGATGAGGATGAAGAAGAAGAAGAAGAGGAAGAGGATGAGGATGAAGAAGAAGAGGATGAAGAAGAAGAAGAAGAGGATGAGGATGATGAAGAGAAGAAGAAGAAGAAGAAGAAGAGGATGAGGATGAAGAAGAAGAAGAAGAAGAAGAAGAAGTAGGATGAAAATAAGAAGAATTCCAGTCCAGCAAAAAGTGTATCTGCAGAGAGCTCCGCTATTTTTGACAGTTCTCTGACAGTTCCTTCACATTTACAGCGGTTGAAACATTGTATCTATTTGTTTCCGAATAAAAACATCTGTATCCTAAATGGAAACAAATAGATACAATGTTTCAACCGCTGTAAATGTGAAGGAACTGTCAGAGAACTGTCAGAAATAGCGGAGCTCTCTGCAGGGACACTTTTTGCCGGCTGTAGAAGGGATGAAAATCGACGATCAGGGAAAATTCGATTCGTGCATCCGAAGTTTGCTAATTTTCGGATTCGGCGCGAATCGAATTTTTCTAATATTCGAAACAAATTCCACTTCGTCATGTTCGATTCGCTCATCTCTAGTTATATATATAACCCATAGAAAGTGGATTGATTTATACATAAAAAAAGGGTAATACACTATGTGAGTTTTCTTTTTTTGAGGTGGATGCGGTGAAAGAAGTGCGGTTCATCTTTTTGGAGTGGACTATTATTTTGGATTATTATTTTTTTGGATTGCAATTTTTGTAGTGGACATTGACTATATATTTTTTGGTATGATTATGACTTTGGGGGATTTTTGATCATTTGGGATGATAGGTTTATTTACACTTATTAATTAATATATGATTTATACATCTTCAGGGGAAGGTGTTGATTAGAGTGTGTGGGAACTATATAAAAAGTATATAAGTATTTGGGAGGTGGTTGTTATATAATAACTACTTTAACTCTGTCAGCATTATCGGCTCAGGTTGCAACAATGAGCCAAATTCACTGGCATTTATTGCCAAAATTTTCTAGTTTGGTCACTTCCATGCAAGACACGTAAGGTGATTTCATTGTTGATAGTGATAACTTCCCCACTCTTTGATTCCCCATTCACTTTGATTCCAGTATTTCTCACATTTCTGCTCACTGCAAAATACACATTACTGTACTTATCAGCAAGAGAAGTGCATTTAAAATTATCCAGAAAAAACACTTTCGAATATTAAAACATGGCTTTTCAACCACCTGCAGTCTGGACACTTTTACTCTTTTTCCCCAGTTATTTTTGAGTTTTCAGTACTCTCACACTTTGAATGACATACAACACTGTTCCCAAATGAAAGTTTTGTCATTTTTTTTAGACAGAGTTTTCCTTTGGTAGTATTTAGTCAACTAATAATTTTGAAAAAAACACATTTTACTTAGTTTCTGGTATAACATTTGGAAAATAAATATTATTTCTTCATAAATGTAGACCAAAATGTATTCTTCTACCTTTCTTTGGTAAAAATAACCCAAATAAGTCTATATTATTTAGTCTACACATGGGAGTGTCCTTCCAGAATGACATTTGTCTGCCCAGACCGCATTTGTACATTGGTTGTGGAGGAGATGGTTAGGGTAAATTAAATTGTATTTACACTTTTTGCACTCAAAGTTGAGAAAACTCCACTGTATGTCTGTTATCTGTTCCCATTTACACAGCACGCTTTATTTATTTATTTTTTTAAATATATTTCTTACCTTTTAGATATTTTTTCAGTAGAAGGTGTCATAGCTGAATGCAAGGTTTATTGAACAATGTTAGAGTGAGCCTGTCCCAGGTCTGGCCTCATTAACATAGAATACCAAAAGAGCAGAACCTACACCCTTAACCTTTTGTTAGGATAGACAGTGTTCAAATCTAGTTACATACAACTGATAATGAAGATCTCTCTGCACAGTACAGGCAGGGTTAATTATGACAAATACAGTTGCTCAACCCCATTCATCAACAAAGAGGACTAGAAGGATTTTTTCCTTGCTGGAGGGTCCAGAATAGAGCATCTAAAAAAGTCATGCTATGTGAATTGGGGGCATGAAATAAATATAAAGTAGGTGTTTTGGTTGTAAAAGTAGAAACATACTTTAGCCCCTTAACGCCGCACATCCTAGCCCTTAAAGAGGTTTCTGATGCTGGGAGGTGGGGTGGGGATTATGATCAAGTGACTGCCGTAACTGGCTGTCACAGTGGTCACATGATCGGAAAGCTTTCCGTTAGGCGCTGGTAACTGTGTCAGGTGTGCATGCTCTTGGCTGAGGTTTATTTACATTTGGGTATGCAAATATGCAGCCTCTCAGTGTCAAGGCCTACCCAAAAAAAAGACCACATATTTGCGTAAAGGGGCTAAAAGAAAAGTATAGTCAAAGCTATTTTGGCTATACTTCTCCTCGGGATCACAGGAGTGCAATTTGTTCTGCACTCCTGTGACCCATTTTCAGGTGACACTGAGCTAAAGCTCTCTGTCATCTGACATCACAGAGCCGGTCCAAACTCTGAAAAAGATCATGACCACATGGTCAGGATCCACCCAGATGCCTGGACTGGCAGATGGCTCAGCCTCTCAGCGAGCAATTGAGAGCCTGATCCAGCCCTTCCCGCCCCCTCCACAGCCCAGTTCTCCAGTGAGTACCAGAGGGGCAGAGGAGAGAGCCAGTGACTGACAGTCATGGGCTCTCTGCTCACTGAAGGCTGAGAACTGATTGATCAGTAGTCTTTGATCGCTCAGTTTTTAGTCTTAGAGTTGGCAGGGACAGATGCAGCATCGGAATGATGCTGTATCCACCTAGATGAGTATAAGGCCTCCTTTACACCATATGCGCAGAAAACTGATGGAAACTAACACGCAGATTTCACTTACAGAGACATCAGTTTACATCAGTTTTTATGTACCCTGAAGGGCTCTTTCACACCATGATGCAGAGGCGTCAGTTTTTCTGGACACGTTCTGCAAGGGCAGAACTAAATCAATTGATCTCTAAGTGCCCAGTTCACACCCTTATAGAACATGTAGTTCCTCAACAGGAGGAACTACATGGAGGGCTGCAGTTGCCCACCTCTGATTTCCACAGTGCGGAAATTGTTAAAATCTCTACCAAATTTTGCTGCTGGCTGAGTACTCATCAGGGAAATTTTCTGTTTTGACAGACATGACAAGAGTGAAAGAAAATACCATTATAGTGATGGAAAATCACACCTTTGACACATACAAAGTTCTATACAAAATGGTATTTTGAGTTGGAATGATAAATACTTTGTATCGCCCTATAATTTTATTGTCTTGTCTTAAAAATGTATATATTTTCATTAATAACATTTAGGTGATTTTATACATTGGAGATTCCTGTGAGGTACCTAATCCAAATCAACTTTTTCTGAATTTGGATTGTTATGATATCAAGAATGTGGTACGAATTTGGTCTTTGTCTTTCCATATACTCTGTATTATCAAATTACTCTCATTGGTGCAAAAGGCTGACACTTTACAAGTTATCTGCCAATGTTTAAAGTGTTACTAAACCTCGGACCCTGTATTTACTATACCTGGTCTGCACAGTACACAGAACATGGAAATGCAATTATTTTAGTAAATATAAACTGCTAAATACCTTTTTCTCATCAGCAGTTAGAGTAGTCTTTTGACTTTTATCAGTGTCCAGCTGAACAATAATTAAAGCTTGTAGGAGGAGTCTTCTATCTGCTCTAGGAGGATGCAGAACCCCTGACCTGTGTCTCGAGAGTGCTGATTGCCCCTGTGCTGATCACATGCACTCTTCCAAGAAAAAAAAAACTCTCTAGCAATACACACCAAACTGAGCATGTGCAGAGTGTCTCCAAATGATATGTCTTATCAGGAGATAGGGGGACACTGGAGGAAGGGGAGAATCAGAGAAGTTAGGTCAAACAGCGATTTTACATGATGCGGGGGATTAACCCCTTAGTTCCCACAGTGAGTATAACCAGCATGCTTTACTGCATGCCAAATAGCGTTTGACAGGCGTTAGACAGGCGTTTGGGAAGCATTTTTAATGCTCTTCAAACACTTGCCAAATGCCCTATGCATGTTTTTGAGGCATTTGATAGGCGTTTTCCAAGCGTTAAAACCACACCACAAATGCCTATAATGAAGTTTAATGGTATTAACACTCCGCAAACGCCTCGAAATCACCTCACAACTGCCTCACAACCACCCCGTAAACGCCTGCCAGGCATTTGAGGAGCATCACTTGAATGGAGGCTTCAACTCCTCCTGACTTGACATGAGGCGTCAATTTTGCTGTGACGTGATGCTAACGCTTCAGTGTGAAAACTACAAGCTGACAGCCGCTAATGCTGCCGGGATTTACAGAACACTGTGAATGAATGAATGTTCCAAAGGTGACCTTATCCTGTAAGCCCTCGTTAACACCATTGTGACTTGGCATGCGATTTGACAGTTCAAATCACACAACAAGTCGCACCCTAAGATCGGCAATAGAATTGTTCTAATTGGTATGACTCTGACTTCAGCAGAATTGCACCGGTTTAACAAGTAGTTCCTGCACTACTTTTTCTGATTTCTGGTGCAACTTGCATGGACATCTGTGCATGAAGTCATACAGATGTACACCTGAAGTCACACTGACATGCGATTTTGAAATTGTGTGACTTCAAGTGAAGTCGTACAATTTCAAAGTCGTATTCAATGTGAATCAGGGCTTAATGTGGTAGTGAAGTCCATTTGGACATTTTTACCTACTAGCAGGGCTTTGGATAAGGGGGTACCAGCAGTCCTGTACAGGCCCAGGCCAGCAGGGAGGCCCCAGGCAGCTGGGTGAATTGGATGTGGGCAGGGAAGTTGATCGGCATGGCAGGGGGGAGTCATTGGAATGGATCACCTGGTTGGCTCTTTCTGTAGCAGCTGAAAGCTGGCTTCTGCTTTCCCTCCTGCTTGCTTTCAGCTGCTGCAAAGAGGCATACAAGGGATCAGGTCCAGTAATTGCTCCCCCACTGTCCTATCACCCTTCCTCTACACCATACATTTCCCCCTGCTGTCCAGACCCCCCTGTGTGCCCCTACTCTTACAGTACTGCTGGCTTCCCTCCTTTCCTTCCCACCAGCAGCTTCAAGCACAGGATAGAATCCTTCAGGATGGAGGGTGAGGTGCGGTAAATATGTCATTTACTGGCCCCTTTGTTTCCTGAATGAACACAGTGAGTGATTACAATTATCATTACTGATCACTCACCGTGTTCATTCAAACTGAAGCACTGTAAACTGTGTTATTTTGGGGGGCCCTATCAGGTTGGCCGTATGGGGACCTGTGGTTTCTAACAGCAGCCCTGCCTACAGGTAAACTTATAATAAAGCTTATAGGTACAATGAATATCTCCTAAGCTGACCAATCACAGCTCTCACAGTATTTCTCAATGGCAAGAATGCAAGAATGGAGCCAGAGAGAAGGAGAAATAATTGCTTTTGCCGCCTTTATGGGTGTAAAAGCAATCAGTGTTATGAAGAAAGATTATTTATTTGCAAAATTTTATAAGAAAAACTTTTTTTCAAAATGTTTGGACTTTTTCATTTATATAGCAAAAAAAATAAAAATCCCAGTGGTGAATAAATACCACCAAAATAAAGTTTTATCTGTCTCGAAAAAATGCTAAAAAAATTAATATGGGTACAGTGTTGCATGACCGCGTAATTGTCATTCCAAGTTTGATAGCACTGAGAGCTAAAAATTGGCCTGGACAGGAAGGGGGTAAAAGTGTGCGGACCAGGGGCGGACTGACCATTTGGAAACTCGGACACTGCCCGAGGGTACGGGGTCAGTAGGGGGCCCCATGAGATGCCCCTGGTACCTTTTTCATAGGCTTTTTTTGAGTTTGGGCAAGGACAAAGGGGCCCCATGATCCCCTATTGCCTGGGGGCCCCATGAGTTGTCAGTCTGCCCCTGGTCTGGACTTGAAGTGGTTAAAGCTGGGTGCAGAGTAGAACTCAAAAATATTTTTTTATACCAATGAATAAAAAACCAAAAGAAAAAATTCTTTTTCATGAGCTGTGATCCACATGCTTTTTCTCTCTGGTACTAATTCGGTCTGATGGCAGCACTGAAATGCTGTTCTCAGTGGTGTGTCTTATACTTAGCTCCAGAATATAAAGATGTCTAACGAATAATAAAACCCCAACAGCCACTGGGAACATAGCTCACTATATTAGTATTGCTACTAGGATGTTTCTAGACATGGGACTAAAATATATTAGAGAGACTTGATCTTACATTAAACTGACAATGAAAACTATTTATATATTGTAACACTGTCCAGCAAGGCAGTTCTTACACATAATACAGCTACACTCATTTATGGGAAGTGTTCTCTTTATTGTACACCTGCCACCTCAAAATGGCCTTTTTTACTATACTGTACTGTTTCAAAAATCCCTTTAGAATATCATCTGCTGTAATAAACAAATTAAAATGTGAATTTAGTTTACATTAATATAAATGAGAATACTACTAGAAGTGGTAACTACAGAATGTCTAAATGAGAATTGTGTGTAATTGAACACTATAAACAGAATTCTATTTTATATAGCTGTGGAAATAACCATAACCATGAATTTACTTCTAAATTGTTTTAGATAAAGCACTCTAGTAATTGCCGGTTTTTAATTTTTAATTGGAATATAATGTGTTTGGATAAATAATTGACATTGAGAAGTGCGTGGAAATGATACACAGTAATATAATGGTAACACACGTATGGATGCAATGGGGGGAAAATGGGGGATGTTTTGGGTAGAGTGGAGAAGGGTGAGAGCCTTTTTGTAGCTATATGTGTTTCTATTGAATAGCTGCAGCCATGATCCTGATATCCCTTTATGCAGCCAGCGATCGATTTTCATGTAAAAGTTATCCAAGAGGATTTACAGCTGTCTGGTCAGTTTTTACAGAGCTTAGAAGGGCTTCCCGCATGTGCCCACCACTGTTTCCAGGCTCTCCTGTTCCACCAGAGAGCCCAAAACTGTTGTAAGTAGTGGGAACAGCTAACCACAAAGGAGATGGAAGAACACCCATGCCTCCATCTCTTCTGTGATGAATGAAGCCAGAAGCCACAAAGGTTTAGTCACTTCCAGTTTCAGTACTGTGTTTCCCAGGCCCTAACAGCTAGAGAAGCAGCTGATTAAAAAAAAAAGATCTCTGTTTGACCAGCTGCCTTGGAGGGCAGAGGAGGTTGAAGGGTCTAATTGCCCCCTGATCTCTCCATAAAGAGTACCAGTCATTGTCCAAAGCTATCACAAGGGGTCCTGTTTACCCCTTGTGATAGCAATAAAGTTATATGAAAAAAAAGAAAAACGTGTAAAAAAAATTACATATAATAATAAAAAATAATAAATAAAGCACCCCTGTCTCCCCATTCTCACGAATAGATGGACAGCATTTACAGTATATGTAGACAATGATTACAACACACATGTGCGGTATCACCACAAAGATCAATGTGAGCAATAATTCTAGGCCATAACTCACATTTTGCTCTAAATTCATAGTCTGTAAAGGCTTTTAAAGCATTGCCTATGGATAATTTTAGTTTGGCGACATTTGAGGCATGAGCAATTTGAAATCATGTTTGGTATCAATTTACTCGACAAAACATCATCTTTTATATTTTACAAACAAATTGGATATTAGATTCTGTTTGTGCGTGTGTGCACTAAAATTTAAGTGCATTTAACGTGGATTTTTTTTCCTGAAAATAACGCATTTGATAAACGGCTGCACAGTTATTGTGCAACATAAAAAATTGCAACAACCACCCATTTTATTTTGCAGAGCCTCTGCTTTCAGGAAATAGTAATGTTTGGGGGTGCTATGTAACTTTCTAGCAAAAAAATTATTTTGACATGTTCGTGAAAAATAACAAGATTGTCCTGCATGCCAAGTGGTTAAACCAACAAAAACATAACCTGGTAATCATTCTCTAATTTATTATTCTAGAACATGATCTTCAAGTAGAATTCCAGGTTTCAGGTCACATCAACCACTTACAGATCAGTGGCAGTTAGGCAGTTCCCACCCAGTGGCAGTTAGTGTCAGAATGCCCACTGCAGTCCCACTATAAGTTGCGGATTGCCGCCATTACTAGTATAAAATAAATAAAAATTCCAGTATGCAGTATATACTGCCATTTGTAGATGCTATATCTTTCATGTAAACCAATTAATATGCACCTATTGGGATTTTTTTTACCAAAGACATGTAGCAGAATACATTTTGCCCTAAATTTATGAAGACATTTTATTTTTTTATTATTTTATGGGATATGTTTTATAACAAATTGTCAAACATAATTTTTTTAATCAAGAGGTGATTAAATACCACCAAAAGAAAGCTCTATTTGTGGGGAAAAAATGCCATAAATGTAATTTATGTGCAGTGTTGCATGACTGCGCAGTCAGTTGCCAGTTAAAGTAACGCAGCACCATATCACAAAAAATGGCCTGGTCATGAAGGGGGGTAAATCTTCCAGAAGGCAAGTAGTGAAATAGTTTGCTTGGACCAAACTGGCCCAAATTAACGGTTTTCATTACAAGCTGCCCATATGGAAGAAAAATATATCTGAAATATATTTTAAAAATATTCTTCCCAAATATATTGCCATATATTTGAAATACTACAATTGTGGCCATATTCAATAATTTCAAAATATATTTCAATATATATACTGCATGTTGAAATGTGTTTTTATTACAAAATATATGAAAAATATTTTTTAAAATACATTTCAAATATACTGTATGTCTTTAAAAATACAAATCTACATTTTTGGAATGCATTTTATATGTAAAAATATAGGTTAAAATGACTTTTTTATATGTTAAAAAAAATCTGATGAATACATTTAAAAAATATATATATTTTTAAAAATATATATGTTTTAAATATATTCTTCAGATTTTTTTTAACATATAAAAAAGTCATTTTAACATATCAAAAAGTCATTTTAATATATATTTTTACATATATTTGTAAATGCATTCCAAAAATGTAGATCTGTATTTTTAAAGACATACAGTATATCTGAAATGTATTTTAAAAAATATTTTCATATATTTTCATATATTTTGCAATAAAAAAAGCATTTCAACATGCAGTATATTTTTTTTATATATATATATATATATATATATATATATATATATATTTATTGAAATATATTTAGAAATATATTGAATATGGGCAAAATTGGAGTATTTCAAATAACTGGCAACATATTTGGGAAGAATATTTTTAAAATATATATCAAATATATTTTTCTTCCATGTGGGTGATGTGGCCAAAAGCTATAAAGCTTTAATTACCCTGCTCTTTTAATATTTTCTGTGTTGTGTTTAACTAATATGCAGCTTGCATATGTATATAAAATGCTCTTCCCAGCTTAATAAAGAGAAGCAAGGCTTACCTAGCGATACAGGAAGGCATTATGGTAGTTTAATTATTCCTGCACAGTAAATTACAAAGAAATGAGTTATATCACCTTCATTACCACAGCAATTGGCATGTTTTCTTACATAGTAAGGAGAGGACATAAAGTAATTGGGTAGTGCAGCCGTGTCATTGTAGCGTAATGTCCCTAGACTAATTAAAGTTCATTTGCTTCTTATTGTCAAGAGAGAAATTATTTTGGTGTTTCCAGTTCATTAGGTACCGTTCAATAATTGTTTCATATGAATGTGGTTTTGTTTGTTGCTCAGGTGTGGGTCATAAAAGCCATGCAGAATTGCTGATTTTTTTTAATTTTATTTTTTAATATTATATGTTGTATCTTTTTCATTTATGTGAAAGATTTTAGAAGCACAGCTATTTGCACATTGCCAGTCTGAAAATTACCTCCATAGCAAAAACAATCAATTTTAAATATAAAATGTCATGTTTTTGTATAGATCAAGATAGTTTTACTTCTCCGTGGAGGCTTGTTTTTGATCCTTTTACTGATACAGCACTGACATGTTTATTATTACAGTAACCTTATTAATTGGGTTTATCTTACTGAGTTCAGGATCCATCCAATTAATAACTGTTGTTGACATATTCCCTGTCTCTGTGGCTGACTCACTTGCACTCTTCATCTTGAACTTGCCCTTGTGAATGTATCATCAATCAATGATATACACCACAGCTAGAACACAACATAGACGGAGGTGGTCAGCAGGAGGATGGAAATAAAAAAAACATTTAGAAACAGAGAAAAGATGACGACCTTTATGGCCAAACTGGACAAGCAGTAATGTAGTAATTTCCAACCATAAAATAGAATTATTTTATGTTATAAAGTTTTTTTTTTTTATAGAAGGTCTTTTACCTGGTGCATAGGAAGGAGATGTAATTCAGTCCATATAAAACATCCATTCAAAGTGTATAGTATTTATCTAGTTTTAAAATGTTTTAATGACTGTAATGAACATCAATCCCAGGTATACCTAAAGGCATTTTTTTTAGCTTTGTATAGAGTGGTGAGAAATGAAAACACCTGTCAGGTTTTTATTGCTGTCTGTGCCCCTGTTAAGAAGATTTGTGCTCTCTTTTTGTCCTGTTTACCGTTATCATTGAAAGTAAAAAAAAAAGAAAAATAGAAATTTGGGGTTTTCACCAGAACAGGAAGAGAGGGGAAATTCTTTAGTTCTGGTGACCCTGGTGATGACCAGGGATCTCATCACTTTGGAGAGATCTTCTCTCGCTTCCTGTTTATGCTGTGGGACAGGATATAAAAGGAAATCTCCCCAAAGGGACATGGCTGGAAAAACAACCTGGCAGGATTTATAATGATCCATAATGCCGGCC